CACACAGAGGGTATGATCAACTCCCAGGACAGGGAGTGGCAGGCAGCCCCAGTGCCACCTCACTTAGATTGAGGGTCCCTGAGTGGGACAGAAGAGACTGAGATGCTGCTGGCCCCATCAGAACTGGGACCGAAGAGACCAGGGAAAGGACAGACATCAAATATGGATACAGTCTCTAACTGTTGTCAAACACCATGTTCCTGCTAGAAAATGCACTTACAGAAAAGCACTGATGGCCTAACTCTTACCTTTTGCATTTGTATGCAAAGGCCATTGTTTATATGTAGTGTGGTTCAGGGAACAAGAATTGCTAGGTTCTATTCTTGGATCAGTTGCTGATAAACACAGTATCTGCTAGTGGAAAACATTGAGGGCTTGGAAATTCAGAGCTGAACTTTCATAACCAGAAGGTATTTATATGCGTTACCTAGTACGCACCTACAATTGAATACTAATTTGAAGATGCATGTGGCAGCCAGGTGGAATAAATAAACAAATGTCAGTAGACAGAGAAGTAAGTAGGACACAGGAACAAGAGCCAGAGGTTCCATGGGAAAAAAGAAGCAGTCCAGCCAGGCAGCAGGAGCCATGGCCCCACCCACAGGGACACCCGGGGCTGCTGAGCTTTGCCTCTGCTAAGTTCCCACTCAAGTCACACTACCCCTTCTTTGCCCACACATCTGTCTGTGTTCCTCTCCCTCCCTCGCTGCCTGCGTCTCAGATTACTGCTCTGCCCTGAGTTACCTCTGTTGCTGGAGGGTTGAGTCCTTTCCAAAGCAGAGGAAACGAGAAGCTCAAGTGAATCAGAAATGACAAGGGCCAAGCAGAGAGATGTGGCACAGATGCAAGGCAGCGAAAGTCAACTAGTTCCTGGGCTTGAGAGCAGGCTGGGGGCTAGCCGCTAAATCTGGCACTTAACCATGACAGACTCAGCTTTAGGAGCCAGATCTTTTAAAGGAAGCCAGTGCACGCTATCCTTCTACTCTGGCTTTGTGCCCAAATGTCATCTCTTGGCTCTGACACTAAGTTGGTCCCAGCAGTAGGTCAAGTACAGAGCAAAGAATGTAGAAATCATTTCAGTCCAGACCTCTGCCTTCAGGCAGAACCTTAGCTACTCCAATCTGAACGAATGGTATAACTTGTTTAAACCTGCCTGGATGGAGAATCTTTAATTTCCAGTTATAGTCTGTTCCCAGGACTGCTTTTTAGTTGTACCCACCAGTATAGCTGTACCAGTTGTTAAAATACTGAAATACTAGGTACCAGTTTGTGTGAGTGCCCATTACCAACCTGATCCACCCTCAGAGCTGCAACTAAAAGGTCATTTTTTGGGCATAGCAAGGGACCCTCAGGAGCCTGTTTCAGCACCATCATCTGTCCCCAAGGTATTGTCAAATAGTTTTACTTTTACCCTTGCCTGTTCCACAGCACAATGCTACCCTGTCCTAAAACTTCAGCTGCTTTTCTATCAAATAAAAGCCACTCCTCATGATTCAGTCCTTCACAATACAGCCTCGTGTCTTCACCTGCTAGCTCACCAAATCTAGCTGCTCAAGATTTCCAAACACTAACATTTCCCTGACTCTTGGTCTTTGTGTACACTGCCTAGAATAACCTTCTTTCTGTAACCCAGCAAACTTACCAGCTACTCAAAATCTCTCCCAAATGTCCCCACTTCCATGAAACTAGTTGAAAGTTGTGCCCCATTTCCAGAAGGGTCACAGCAATATCTAGTTTCTACATTTAGAAAACATAATGACTGTTTTGGATTGTTATTTTTATATAAGCACCTTGCTCCCTCCAAGACAGAAAGCTGTGGGGGGCAGAAACCACCTCCTGGTCATATTCAAAATGACCTAGCACAGTATCTTACTTAAGGCATGTACTAAATAAATATTTGTATAAATGAGTGAGTGAGCAGCTCTGAATCTTTTGCCCAGGGGACCCAGTGTCTATGTGTTAATGATTTTAGTTGTTTGTCTCTCAAACTACCCCAATTGTGGTTGTATCTTTTTCTGCACATGTACCCAAATTGCACACCATCTGTATCTTAAACTACTGGGTTATTTCAAGACGACGGGGCAGGAAGCTGGCTCCCCTGTCATTACTTTACCACCCTGGAGTCTGTGACTGCCATCTCTCTATACACTTCTTCCCGTGCTAAACCAATACACCCCTCACCCAGGGACAGGCAAATGACAGGTTCTGGGCCATGGAAGCTGGCCTTACAGATGACAGGAACGTTGGTGGTGGAGTCAGTTGGCAGGGATTGCTAGAAAGAGGAGGCAGGGTGGCTCGCTGGGAAGCAGAGCCAGGAAGGGGCTCTGGTTGCTGTGGTCAGTGCCCCCATACAGTCCTGGAAGGGCAGTTTTACTGCTCTGGTTGCTGCTGGTATGCAGAGTGTGGAGGAGGGAATGCTAGCAATCCTTTCTTACCTCTCCTGTCCTAATTCCTCCTCCCCACTCTTCCTCCAAAGCAACAGCTCTGACTGGGAGTTAAATCTATAGGACAAGAGGGAACTTTGATGCAAAACATCTGGGCTTTCTAACAACAAAAAAAGATGGGAGACAAGGAGACAGAAACCACAGCCACTGTCTACATCTCACCCCAGGAGGAAGTCAAGGAAGGAGTAGGACACAAAGCACAAGAGATGGACTTTGGGGCTCTAGGAGGCTGAGAAGAGGAAGCAAGTGATCCATCAGTGTCCAGGCTTAGCTTCTTATTAAAAATCACCGACAGAGAATGGAGATATAGCACAAGCAGTAAAGCAGCTTCCTGGTAGATGCAAAGCCCTGAGTTCAAACTCCAGTGCCACCAAATAAAATGAATAAAGAGTAATAAGTAAAAACCATAGGGCAGAGTCTTTACTCCCATTTCCTGCAGGAGGGTGGGGCAGGAAATGTTTCTCCCTTTTTTTCCATTTCTCCCCACTCTTACCCCGTTGTGCTAAATTCCTTTCCTAATAAACTTTACTATTATTTTTACTACAAAAAAAAAAAAAAAATCACAGGGCAGGAGCCAGGTGTGGTGGTACATGCCTGTAATCTCAGCACTCAGGAGGTTGAGGCAGGAGGATGGAGAGTTCAAGGCCAGCCTGGGTTACACGGCAGGACCCAGTCTCAAAAAATTAAATAAAAAAATAAAAATCACAGGGCAACAGAAAGCCACTTCTGGAATAGGACACTGGAAACATTTTTTCTAGAGAAGGCTCAGTTTGGAAAAAAGAAACAAAGAATAAGAAAACCAAGTGAGATTCATCCAGGAGGAGAACTCAGCAGACTCCGGAATTGATGGCTCAGAATGAGCCAACAGACCAAGACTGGGAGGCAGAATTGAAACTATTATTATGGCAACCTGATTCCCATCTCCAAGGAGGGAGCACACCTGAGGTAAAGGAAAAGCAGAGAGAGGGAAGAAAGGAGGTCACTGACTTCAGGGTCACAAGGCAACAGTTTTCTTCTCTCTTTAATCTGTGCAGAGGATACTGCTAACTGTCACATGAACTGGGAAGGGTGTTCCAAGAACAGGAGGGAGATCCCTCCCAGGCCCGCCCACCTGTACACACTCCAAGGGAGCTCAGCCACATGGGATTGTGGGACCCTAATGTGGAGGAGTAGAAAGGCTCAGAGGAGGGAAGAAATGTCCATGAGGAGGCGGACTAGGGGTCATCAGAAGGAAGAAATCTCCTATGCAGGATGGTGACTGAGTACAGCTTTCTGCACAGGTGCCAGGCTCGCTGGCCATGGCAAAGACTAAGTGGCAGAGTTCTTACAAGGGTCAGTGTCCAGACTGAAAGGGGCCCTGGCAATCATTCAGGCCAAGTTCTCCTTTTTACCTGAGGAGTCATCATTTTTCCTCCTTGACCACCAACTACTTGGTGGCAGAGCCAGGTCCAGACTCACTGCCAGGATTACTTCCACTGCCACAGAGTGGAAAGTGAATCCACAAGAACGCATCTCCAAGCTGACCAACTCAGTTACTGTCCCTATTAATTCCCTCTTTTTGGCCACAGGAGAAGGCAAAACACCACACCCGAGTCTGGGTAGAGGGGTTGACCCATATTCATGCTACAGTGTCCTCTCTGAGTTTCCTGACAGGGGGAAGGGGACCGACGGCAGACAATGCACTAGAACTTTGAAGCCTATTCCCTCAGGTGGGGAAGTACACCTAGGCATTCTGGGGACTTCTTCATTCCTTTCCCAGCCATTACAGTCACCTTTTACTTTGCTAGGCCATCAAAGGTACACTGAAAGTCACTATGCATAGCTACTCCTATTAAAGTGAAGACAGAGACGACTTCCTCCCATTTCCCTAGGAGGAAACTGAGGCACAGAAACATAAGTGGTTTTGGTGAAGTAAATATAGAAGTACTAATCTACCCCACTGCGGGTCCCTTGTCTCCTGGGGCAGCATCTGGGGAGTCTGATGGATTTCCATGGGTTTGTGAGGGCCAGGAGATGGTCAAGCTGATTCGAGAGGATGGCGAAGTGAAGAGTTGGGGGATTAGGAGACAGAAAACCGGGCTGGGAGAGGGGGTGACACATGGGATGAAATCTGAGGAATTGTTGAAAAAGAACTCCCGAAGCGCAGCAGGAGAGGAAAGGCAGAGAACCAGAGTCAGCGGCGGGCAAAGTTTGGGTGGCGCCGAGCGGAGCGCACGGCCGGGGTGGAGAGGGCGGAGGGCAGCGCAGACACGGACCACAAGTCCACGCGTGGACCCCGAGCGCCCCAAGTCTTCCCCAGCGTTTCAGCCTGTCCGCATCGCTCTCCGAAGAGAGAAGCGAGGAGTCCCGAGAACGCCCGGGCCCCACATGGTCTGGGCTCGGGGACTGGGGGACTTGGCGACCGTCCCCGCTGCTGCCTCCACGCGCCTCTGTCCCCGAGTAGGCGCGGCGGCACCGGGCACCTGGGGAGGAAAACGAGTTGGAACCCGGGTCCAAGGATGAGAGGAGGGTCCCCCAACCCGGGACACTGCCTCCGAGCCCCGCAGCGCTACTTACTCCGGTTCAGGGGGTTCCCGCCGACCTGGGCCGACGCCACCAGCTCCAGATAAAGGGTCCAGAGTCCCACGGACACCATGGCGAGCACCAGCAGCAGGCGGAAGCGTCTCCGAAGCAGCCGGACCGGGCGCAGGAGCAGCAGGAGCAGCGCGGCCCGGGGGCTCCCCATGGCGCGGCGCCCCGCCGGCCGCCGCCACCCCCCGCCCCCCGGCCGGGCCCAGCGCCCCGGGCGCCCCGAGTTCCAGCCCCAGCCCAGCGTCTCAGCGCTGCGCTGAGGCCGCGTCCCCCGGCCGCGCTCCAGCGGGACTCCGGCTCATGCTCCGCGCGCCTGGGGTCTCTCGGCGGCGCGCGCGGGCGCCTCGCGGGGTCTCCCGAGTGGCCTCCGCGCTCCGCTCCCTCTCCACGCCTCTCCGTCGCAGGCGCCCGCCCTGCTCGCTCGCTGCCTCGCTTTCACGCTCGCTCACTCGCTCTTACACCCTTCCCAGGAGGAGGCTCCCCCCGGCGCCCGCCCGCCTTGGCTCGCCTTCCGCAGCTCGGATTATCCTCCGCGCTCCGGGTCCCACCTCACACACCACCTGTCCCGCCCCCGCCTAAGTCCCGCCCCCGGGCACAGGTGGGCCCCGCCTCCAAGAGGCCCGGGGAAGGGGCGGAGCCTCTCTGGCCCCGTGGGGTAGCGGGAGGTGGGGCCAGAGAACTGGTCACGGGGACCCCGCCCACTGGGGGGCGGGTGGGTGGAGGGAGTGACTCATGTTGTGTACTGTGTGAATGAGGGAAACCGAGTCACCGCCTAGCCCCCATCCCCCGCCTTTAATGGTGTCTGCCCAAACAGAAGAGTGGAGTAAGAGGCCGTTGGTGACACCCAGACTTTGACCTCAGGGCTTGTCTTTGCCTGCAATGTCCCCTACTCCCTTACTTGAAGACAGGAGAGTGACATGATGTTATTTGGGAGGCAATGGACACTTCATTCAGCCATAGCTGTGTCTTCCAGGTCAGATTAGACCTTTGCTTCGCAGACTCAACTACATCTCTGAGAGGCACTGGGGGAGTTATAAAATCCACCAGGGAAACCCAGTAAGTACTTTTCCCTGTGCTTAGATGGAATGGCTATTGGGAGAAATTACATGCTGGAGAGTTCTAAAGAAGACTCAAAAACAGAAAAGGGGGCTGGGGCCTGCCGTAATGGCTCATGCTTGTAATCCTAGCTACTCAGAAGGCAGAGATCAGGAGGACAGGGGTTCAGTGCCAACCTGGGCAAAAAGTTAAGGAGACGCCCATCTCCACAATCATTCTGAGTATAGTGGCATGCATCTGTAACCTCAGCTACATGGAGGCATAGATAGGAGGATGACAGTCTGAAGCCAGCCCAGGCAGAAACCCAAAACCCTAAAATAAAATAACCTAAAGCAAAAAGGGTTTGGAGGTGGGCCTCAAGTGGTGCAAGACCCTGAATTCAAACTCCAGTATTTAGCAGGCAGGAAGCCCAGTAAAAAGGGGGTGGGGTGGGGACTAAGGGTGCGGGGTGTCAAATGAAAAAGGAAATCAAACTTGACCAGATCCTCAAGACATCGTACCTATCCTTTAGGTAGGTAAAGCATTATTATCTGATTTAAATGAGGTAACTAAAGTCCAGAAGGGCAGAGTGAACTGCTGAAGGTCAGTTGACAGGTGACTGTACAATTTTCCACTCTCTCTCCTGGAGAAAAAGGTAAGAGGACTGGAGAAAGAGGAAGGTCAGACGTGTTGCTAGAATTTTTAAATCAAGTGCATATCGTGCATATCATGTTCTAAGACAGAGGTCACAGAACTGAATGGCATATTTTCCCTCCGTCACCATAGTTCAAAGTTCACAGTCAAATGGTATCAACAGGATTATTGTGACCTTTCCTAACTAGCTCCCCCACCCTAACCCCACCATCATCTCCTCTGTCACCAGACAAAATTCTGTTAAGCATCCATACCTGCTCAAAAATATTTAGTAGCTGCTAGTACTTACTTCTAAACTATTTTTCATCTTTATATGACCTATAAAACCTGCCCAGCTAAAATGAATATAATCACTGACCTCCAACACATTTTTTTGGGGGTGTGGGGCAGTACTGGGGATTGAACTCAATCCCCAAAGGACTCCTAGTCCTTTTTGCTTTTTGGCTTGTTTTTTCAGTTAGGGTCTCAAGCTTTTGCAGAGGCAGACTCAAACCATGATCTTCCTATCTCTGCCTCCTGAGTAGCTGTAATTACAAGTGTGTGCCACCTCAAAACATTTTTTTTTTTCTGGTAGTGGGAATCAAACCCAGAATGTCACATAGGCTAAGCAAGCACTTTACCACTGAGCTACATTCTCACATTTTCTTTTCTAGTTGATCAAGTTTGACCTACTCTCCAGGATATGACTCAGGTTCTACAAAACCGGGCATGGTGGCTGGCACACACCTGTGCCCTAGCACTCAGGAGGCTGAGGTAGGAAGATTACAAGTTCCAGGACAGTCTGAGCTACATGGTGAGACCCTATCTAAAGAAGAGAGGAAAGGGGAGGGGAGGGAACTTTCTCAGACAGTCCAGGCCCAAGCAAGCCCTTCATCCTTGGAGCTTTGATGAAGCTTGTCAGCCAATTCACCCTCTGACATGCTGAGACTTAACGTTGAATGTAGTGAGCCTTGTTTCCTCAGCTTCTCTGTATGGCTTCAAGAGCGGGGACTTAGCCTTGCCAGTGCTCAACACAGTGGAGCACAACTTAGCTGTTGGTGATGCGCTGAGCAAGCATCTCCCCAAACCTTCACTAAAGGTCTTCAGCAGAAGGTGACTCCAAAGGACAGTTCTCTCAAGTAGCTCCTGGTTGATGTCTCTGTGATGTTCCAAAGCCACAGATTTGGCACTTAGCAAGTTTTCTTTCTTTCCAAGATAGGCAGCCAGCATGTGCAAGCCCGGCTGTGTCAAGAGTGAAGTGACCAGGGCCCTGGAAGCAGCCCCTGCCTGTTAGGCCAGGTCCCTTGCAGCACTTGGTCATGGAAACTGGAGGCAGCCTGTCCCCCACCATGATTCATCCTCAAGGCTGGCCCTCCTAACAGCACCACATGCTCAAAGTACCTGCTAGGTGGGAACTGGGAGAAATATATAATAGAGAGCGTGCTGCTTCATTGAAAAGACTTTCCACTGAGAAAGAAATCTGACACTTCACGTATTAATTTATTTCTTTGTTTATTTAGCAGTTCTGGGGTTTGAACTCAGAGCCTCATGCTTGCTAGGCAGGTATTCTATCATTTGAGCCACTCCCCCTGCCCTTGTTGCTTTGGTTATTTTTCAGGTAGGGTGGAACATTTTTGCCTGGGGCCAGTCTCTAACCAAGATCCTCTATCTATGCCTCCCATGTGGCTAAGATTACAGATGTGTACCATCACACCAGCTTGTTTGTTGAGACGGGGGTCTTGCTAACTTTTTGCCTAGACCGGCCTGCAATTGAGATCCTCCTGATCTCCATTTCCCAAGTAGCTGGGATTACAGGCACGAGCCACCACACCTGGCAGTGCTGGGGATCAAACTCAGAACTGTAAGAGTGCTCTACCACTGAGCTCCATCCTCAGTCCCCACATTCCCACATTCCTTTTTCAGTTTTACTGACCTCACAGCAGGGGAGGACCTGGACTTTGGCACCCAGATTTCTTTCTCCATCAGTTGAGCTCCAGAACTAAGCCTATGGCTTGTGGTGCTCATGGTGGCCCATTTGAGTAGCATTATATATTGTCATCAATGTGTTTTCATTGTTTTGTCAATTTAAGTGGATGGTCACTAGTTCTGATGGTATACAGTGACTTTTTCCCTCCCCCATTCAGCCCATTAAGGCCCTGGATCACAATGCACAGACTGGACCTGAAATGAGAGATAATTCCATCTTTCCCCTGCAATGCTGTTGAGAAAGGCTCTGTCTTTGGCTTGGCAAGGACGTCAGAGTCAGAGAGGTCAAACCACAAAGCCTTTCCTCCCATCACACAGCCTGTGTAAGGAGGTCAATGCAAGCTTTCTGAAATGGGCCAAGATTGGCACAGGGCCAGACATTTCTAGTTTGTAAAGAATTCAGAAGGGAAGAGTGACCTGAAAGTGTAGCTCCCAGGTAGCATAAACTAAGTATGCACAAAGGCTTGGTTGGGTTCAATCCCTAACACCAAAAAAAGAAAAAAGAAAAAAAAAATAGGGAATGGTGTCCTGTGACCTGAAGGGTAGCAAAACTGCTTCCTCTGCAGCCATTCTTTTTTTGTGTGTGTGGTTCTGCTTGCTAGGCAGGCGCTCTACCGCAGGAGCCATTTCACCAGTCCTTTTTTTGTGTGTTGGGAATTTTTGAGATAGGCTCTCGTGAACTATTTGCCCAGGCTGGTTTAGAACTGCCCCAGCTACAGCAGTTCCTATTCTAGCCACTAGGGGTGTCAAAAGATCCCACCTATCACTTCCTAAAACCTGAGTCTGCAATATAAGGTAGCACTTGGGAGCTTACAGAACATTTTTTGTTTTTTCGGTACTGGAGTTTGAACTCAGGGCCTCCACTTTGAGCCACTCCAACAGCCCTGTTTTTGTGATGGTTTTTTTTCAAGATAGGGTCTCATGAACTACTTGCCGGGACTGCCTTCGAATCATGATCCTCCTGATCTCAGCCTCCTGAGTAGCTAGGATTGCAGACGTGAGCCACTAGTGCCCAGCTTACAGAACATTTTTGCATCTGCATCACCTGTGTCTTATTTCTTACAACCACATGAGAACAGCAGGGAAATAGTAACAGATAAGCTCAGTTTCTTCAAGGTAACATGCACTGAGTTCACATGCCAGTAAGCAAGAGAATCAGAAGTAGAACCAAGTCTGTAGCCTGCTGGTCCTCTTTCCACTGTACCCAGAGACCTCTCCCATCCAGCCTGACCTTCCACATCTGTGGGGGGGGGTGCGTGCGTGTGGGGGGGGGTGCATGCATGCATGTGCACATGTATGTACATGCAGATCTCCATTCTCCTCTGCTCCTTCCCCTCTGAAGTGCCTTCCCTATTCCAATGGATTTCATGAAGCTCTCTTGGTGGTAGGAATTCTGCTGCTATTAATCCAATATTTTAGTCTGAGCCACTTTACTGAGAGATCACGGTCATCTTGGCAAGCACTTACTTATTTTCTCTCTCTTAACTCTTGCAGATCATT